GGCCTGGTTGGTAGGAGGGTGGAAACTGAGCCACCAGAGGCAGGGAAGCTGGGAGAAGCGCAGCCCGTCGGTGCAGGTTTCTTCTGTTTCCTGCAACTCCCGGGGGTCTGTTTTCCAGAAAGTAATTTGTCCCTCAGGCTGGAACTTTGAACATAGCTTCCCCTGGGAGGCCCTTTGCAGACAGCGCAGGAGCCCAGTGCTGGGCTGTACCAGCCTGTGAACCCGTCAGTACACTTTTTGGGGTGGTTTTTTTTTTCTGATTTTTTACAAAGGTTCTGTCCTAATCTTTCTCTTGTACCATGCATGTTGGAAATAGTAAATACGTTTATTGAGCTTTAAAGTATGCTCTGTGCTCCATGATTCTACCTTTGTTATCAAATTTAATTCTTTCATGTACTAGTAAGTGGCAGATGTAGGCTCAGTGCAGTGTAGTAGGAGGCCAGCACCTTCATGCCTCCCCGGACAAGCTGAATCTCAGGGAAGGTGTTGTCCTGGAAACCTTTATTTTTAAATGTGTCTAGTAAAACTGATAATGTCTGAAAGTAAAAAAGTCAATTTTTATTTTTTATTTCTAGTGAACATGAAAAGATTATTTTGTACAAAAAATATCTAAAATTGGAGTCCTCCACGCAAGCTTGTAAAATAAAGGTAAGTCATCACTAAATCTGAACTAACTTGAGACTGCAGTTGTTCTTGTATGATGCATATGTACTTTATGTTGGGTTAGTAATGCAGCTAGGCCAACTTAGTCTCTGGTTTTAGTTCAGAAATACTTAGTAAACATTAAAAGAAAGTTATTTTCTAAAAACGTTTTTCAACGTTCTCCTTTTAAAATTTGACCATTTACTAGCTGTCGCAATATCATGCCATGTACCATTGTTAATACAGTTAATAGTTTTATACTCTTAAGCCTTGGAAAACTAAGTTAAAAAAATATTTTTATATAAAACTTAGGTGCCAAGAAAGCCACAAGCAGATTTGGTCCCAAAATACTGAGAAAAAACACAATTAGAGACGTTTCAGACAAGGGCACCACATGATGATTGTGTTTAATATCATTATTTATTTAACTGAACTTTTGTTTTATAATAGTTGCTCTCCTTTGGTGAAAAGCAGTGTGTGTTCATCAGTAAAGTTGTGGTGCACATGAGGCCTGTTTCAGCAAATTCTTCAGCAAGCTCTCCTGCGCTGGGATCAAGGGTGGACCTCGAGAGGGTCCAAACCATTGTGGAGGCCATTGGGTCCACGCTCTCCCCTGGGGCTCAGCAGCTGATGAATATGGTTAGGTTCCAGCAGCAGGTACGTAGAAAGCGATTTCTTTCCAGATACCATTAAAGTGCCTTAAATGATGGCTTTTTATTAAGGACATGTAGTGACTTAATTGTTTTCATTGAACTTTTATTATTGCTTTGTATAAGATAGCATTTTGTATATCTGCCCTCTTGCAAAAGAATGTTTTTGTTACAGAGTTCACAATTTTCCATGAATTCACTCAAGCATGTAGCTTTGATGAATGAGTGTTTATTGAGCAAATTCTCAGTGAAGAAGCCACTGTTTGGGTCACTGTAGGAGGTTCAGAGATCGGTTCTCTGTAGCCTATCTTCAGGGGTCTTCACAGTCTCATTAGGGCAGTTAGGACGCTTGAGTGAGAGATGACGAGGGTGGTCAGGATGGTTTGCCGAGGCCTTCGAGGAGGAGGCTCGGAGTCCGCAGGTGCATTTGGAGGGATGCACTTTCACGGGTAGAAGTGTGGGTTAGATCTTCAAAGAGAGAAGGGGCAGGATATAGCTAGGAATGGATAGTAGGGTTTTTTGGTCATGTTTTTAAGGTTTGGGGTTTTTTTGGTTTAATTCCAAATACCTTATGGCTTCTCTGCCATGAATTTCTGTCAGTTCAGAAGGGCAGTAAGTAAATGTTCTAATTCTTTCCTCATGGGCACTCTATTCCCCACCTTGATGTGATTCCTTCTGGAGTTTTCTTTCCTGGTAGAAACACACACAAGTCCCCCCACCCAACACATGGGCGGTAACCTGCTTTCCCCACACACCTGAGAAATCATTACCTATGGGGACACTTGGGGAGCCCTCCGGGGGAAAAAAGACAGTGGTCCCGTTAAATCTTCTTTTAAATATGCTAATGAAAGACTTCCTGCAGGTGGGCAGGCCGTGCTTATGGAGTGACTCTGCCGGACACGCCTGGTCCTCTAGGATTGCTTAGTGTTACCAACCAGCAGGCTGTGGACAGTCTCCCTGGACAGTGTCGTGTAGGCCGTGTGACTCTTTATTGAGAATAAAGTAGGGTGTTGCATGACCCAGACTCCTGCCTCTGCGGAAGTGGTGTCGCCACACACACTGTTCAAACCTGCACCTGTTAACTTGGGCAGGGCCTGTCGTGAGGGACCTGGGAGCCGGGTTAGAAGTTCTAGACCTCTCCCGGCACTGCCTGTGCCTGGGAGCACTTGGGTTTTTGAAAGTCTTATTAATTTCTTGTACTTGAAGTTCAAATTTGTAGGCTTTGTCTTTGCTTCAGCAGTTTCGGATAATTGGAGGGGAATCTGTATCAAAGTGCCTGGCATGTAGCTGTCTCTCGGTGTAACTGTGAGAGGATATATCCCATTTTCTCAAAGAAAATATATTCAGTTGAGTTGAGGCCCTAAAACATAATTTGTTATCCTACAAATTACTATTATTATATATTTTTTTAAAACAGGTTTTTGGGGTTTTTTTAGTCTTTACCCAAGGATATTTTCCCCCCCATTGCTTTTCAGAGAGAGTGGAAGGGGGAAAGACAAAAACATCGATTTGAAAGATCCTGCAAATTATTAAAGCAGACATAGCCCTAAGGTAGCTCGTGTTAGTCATTGAGGACATCACGCTCTAACTACATAACTCTCTGGTGCATCTTCCATGAGAGCAGTTGCTAAAGATGTCCGTAGGTGGGCTTCCCAGATGTGCAGGTTCACAGGTACTATTTAATTCTCTGAAAATTACCAATTCCTGTGACTCAGTTGAGAGCACTGCATTGTATTACCATAAATGAAGAAGGCCGCTGTAGTGGACATGATTAAAATCTCAGACTCGAGTTTGGTGGCCTGGTTGATGTCCTGGCTCTGCCTCTTACTAGCCGTGTGACCTTGGCCAAGTTACCTTAACCTTGGTCTCCTCAACTTCATACTGGACAGCAGTGGTAGCTTCATAGGGAGGCTGTGAGGGTCCAGTGAAAGAATGCACGTTGCCTGATTCTAAATTGCTCCGAAGTTAGCTGTCATTATCATTAATGTTTACCTGTTTGCCTTGCTTAGAATTGTATTCCCATTGGAGAGCAGCTGCAGTCGATTTTGGGAAACGCAGCCTACAAGCGAATGATTGGCCTGCAGTCATCTCCTGCCTCAGGAGCCCTTGACGGGTCGCCCTCCACACCTGTTTCTTTTAGAACCCGACTGACTTCGGGAAACGGGACTGAGGACTTGAAAGCTTACATTGAAAAAAGTTCACAGCCGCCCGGTGGAGGAAATATTTCACACCTGGGAGAATGTAAAGTTGTGCCACAGAACCATTCTCTTCTCGAGAGTGACCTTAAGCATGCAGTGTCTTCCTTCCTACCAAAGAGGGCAAGTGACAGCTCAGGCACAGCTCACTCCGAGCTGCTGCCCTTTCTCCAGAGCCTGTGTGGGCAGGTGAACCGCCTCCGAGGGGGACAGAACACCGAGTGGCCGGGACATACCCCCAGACCCAGCGAAGGGGTCGTCGGTGTTGGGTGAGTATTTAAATAACTGCTGGCTGAAAGTGTTTCCACAGATCGTTTCAGGAGCTTTTACACTTTCCCACTAACACACTTACAGGAAATAAATATTCTGAGCAGAGTGGATCGTTTTCAAAGAAGTGCCTGAACCTGGAGGTGTTGAGGCTTCTCAGGTGTGAGGGAGGGGGGAGGGTGCAGGCGCCAGGGAGGGGTTGGAGTAGAGAGCTGCCTGTTGAGTGGAGAGGAGCTGTGGGAACCGTACTGGACATGTTTTGCCTCTTTGCTGAACCATGGTTACAGGCTATTTTTTCTGTATCATGTTAACCTAAGTTAATTTTGGAACCATCAAATCATTTCTAAGCTTATAATTACTTACAGTGCCCAGGCTCTCATCCCCTGATCTCATGCTTCCAGTTTTTGGCAGCCCTGGTTTGATGGAGGTGGCTCTTCAGTGTGGGCCTGTCCTTTACAGAATTGCAGTGTGTCCCAATATTGCCCTGGACTCAGTTCTGCGCCCCAGTCACAGTCCTGGCTTAACTGTTTTGCTTTAACTGTTTCAATCTTTTGGCTTAGATTTTTCACATATAAAATGAGGTAGTTATATTGTTTGAAATTTTCCTAAGGTCTTCAATAGTGTTGAACTTTGAGGAGTTACTTTAAAAACGTGGTTCTTAGTAAGGGTAGAGAAAGATAACATTAGTCTTTAATTGTTGATAGTCTAGGACGGTAACTGGCCAGCATGTGATATGGCAAAAATAAAACCCCCAAAAAACAGAAATGCAAAGAAACAAACAAAAAACTGAACAGATTTCGAAGCTGCTTCTGGCCCAGCTGAGATGGGATGCCCCCCTTGCCCTCAGAGCCTCCCCTCGCAGACAGACACCCTGCGTGTCATACAGCAAACATCCAAAGGCTAGAAGGTGGAACGGGGCGGACTGCGTGGGGACTGTGAGGCAGCACCCCTTCATTTTCAGTTACCTGAGGGTTTGCTTTGCCAGAGATTGTGCTGCATTTTGTCAGATATTTTGTGGGTGTCAATTGACATGATCATATGAATTCCCTACAGTCTGTTGATGTGGGGAATTACTAACTTTGAAAAACTGAGCCAGCCTTGCACACCTAAGGTAAGTCATGGCACGGCAGGGGTGTAATTCTTTTTTACACGTTGCTGGATTTGATTTGCTGATATTTTGTTGAGTAGTCTTGAATCTAGCTCAGGAGAGATACTGGTCCGTATTTTTCTTTATACAGCTTGGTCTTTGTCTGGCTTTATATCAGGGGAACACTGGCCTCATAAAACCAGTTCTGTGTTTTAGAAGAAATTGCATAAAATTAGTGTTATCTCTTCTTAAAATGTTCAGTAGAATTCTCCAGTGAAACCAGGCGGCCTGGATATTTCTTTCTTGGAAACTTTTCAATTATAAATTCAGTTTCTAAGGCAGGTAAAGTTATCAGTTCTCCCCATTAATGTAGAGGTTAATGAACATCATGTGTATTAAAACCCCACTACGATGTTCTGTGGACATAGACATGATTCTTTTTAAAATTAAGAGACTGCAGAAGAGGTAGCAACTAAAACAACTTTGAAAGGTGTTAAATTGGGAGGGGTCACTCTTCCTAATGTCGTCTCACATGGTGAGAGTGTTGAGACTGGAGTAAGTCCTGCCAGAGGGGGAGGAGCACAGGTCAGTGGAACGTTCGAGGGCCCAGAAATAGACCCACACAAATATGCTTGACCGATTTTGACACGGGGGCCTCAGCAATTCAATGGGGCAAGAATAGTCTTTTTAACACAGGGTCCAGGAGCCGTTGGCTCTCCAGGTGGCAAAGTGAGCCCTGACCCAATCCTCACACCTTGTACAAAAATGACTCTGGGTGGATGATGGACTTTCATGTAAAACAAAGCTGTCTGCCGGCTGCTTGTTGTAGAGTTGGGTGGTTTTGTTACCACATTAGAGATAATGTTACTGTTTTTAAATTTGTGTTTAGGATGGGAGAGCAACCTGTTTGCTCCTACCTGGAAAAGATTCTTTCTAAAAAGATGGAACTGATGGAGAAGAAGCTGATGGACCACATCGATCAGCGCATCTGTCAGCTCCAGGAGCACATCGACGGCAAGATCGCTGTGTTGGTGGACTTGCTGCAAAGTCCCAGCTCCCCGCCCGCTGGGCTGCGTCTCACACACGACGACTCCGGGGAAGGGCTTTCAAATGGGGAAAGATGAGGGCTCCACGCGCAATGAACTGCAGATATTTATTACCTATTTATTTCAAAGCAAACCCCAAAGAGTCCCGAGCAGGCGTGTTAGTGTCGTTTGGGAATCGTCATCTTCCTCGCACAAGGTGACCTCGGCCTTCGTTCAGCTGTGCCTGAGGTGGGACCCGTCCTGCACCCGAGAGGGAGCGCGGTCGGTCAGGGGCCGTGTTTGCAGTGCTGTGCGCGCTGCGGAAGTTTACACGCACTTCTGTGCTTAAGTGTCTAAAACGTTTAAGGGTTTCCGGTGCAGCTCCTTAGTGTGATGTGTATGTGTTTGAGCTGCGTATTTTTTAGTTTATACACAGACTATGTTTTAGGGACATGGGAAAAGTGCTCAGAGTATTTGATTGATTTCTTCTCATTGTTCTTGGAAAACCAGGTACTTGGGACACGCAGCCTTTGATTTCAGGTCACCAGGTCACATTCTGTATTGTTTATCTCAGATAACAAGGTGCGGCGTTGGCACCTCGGTATAGCGACTGTTACTGGTGTGGTGTTCGTGCCAGTCGAGTGCTGCAGTAACTGGCACAGGAAGTCAGAACAGCTCCTTCCCTGCTGGCGTAATTACTGTTGATTTAGTGTATTGGACCTGAGCCCTTTCCTGGGTGTGGGTGTGGGACGTGCCGAGGCTGCGGAGGGGAGTAAGGCAGTGACAAGGAGACGGCAGTTCTCGGGGACGGGCTTGATTTTCAGAAACTTTAACTCTTGTCTGTGTGCTGAAGGGTGATGCATTTGCATCTAAGAAATAAGAGTGTTCGTTTTGGACAGGCCTTGTCTTAAGTAAATAGAAACGCTTCCTTGCCAGTGAGTCTCTGCTCATTCATACAGTGTGTTCACTCCTACACTGCTCAGGTGACAGTGTGTGGGCCTCACTGCGGCCACAGCCACGGAGAACCTGCGTGTCACTGTTCTGGTCTCTAATTTATGAGGCGTTCACAGCGCGTGTAGCTATAAGGTAGCCTTTCCTTTCCACTCATGAGAACTCGGCCTCACCTCAAGGGGAACCCTCAGTTCAGGTTACAGCTTCTGGTGCTTGTAGTCTCTTCACTGATTTACAAAAATGCCGCCATGTGGTTGTAGCCACAGTCACTACCCTCAGAGCCAGGACCGTGGATAAAAACAGGTGGAAGGGGTTGAAAAACTGATGATAGAGTCTCCTGCATGTATATGATGAGAAAATATAATTGGGGAGCAATATCACGATCATTTTAAAAAATAATGTTCGTCAATGTGAAATTTCATGTGTGAATGGTTTCCCTGCCTGTTCGTGAACTTGACGCACGTTGTGACTTTGGTAAGTGGAGCACGGGGGCTGGCAGTGTCCCGGTTTAACGGGACCGGGCGAGAGAGGAAGCAGCGTCTCTCCCATGGGCCTGGCTGGGTGCAGGCAGAGGGGCGGGGCCTGCGCGGCTCTTCCTGGGCCCTCACCCGGCCACCTCCACACCTAGTACATGGCTGGCGCTGTGTTCGCCGTGCAATCAAATTGGCATCCTTGCTTTTCCCTACTGCTTGCTAAGATTATAGACGAGTTGGCGTCATTGAATATTTAAACCCTCTCTGCTGTTCCCCAAGAATGCAAAATCTAGAGATGAAAAGACCGGCCTGGATGAAAGTGGATAGCACGGCGCCGTCGGGAACACACGGGAGAAGGTGAAGCCTGGCCCGTCCTGCTGGCAGACATGCAGCCGCCCACTTCCAGAGGCACACGGTTATGACTTACACACACGGGGAGGGAGATGAGCCAGAGGTGCCAGAAGCTTGTCCCACACCCCAGAAGGGATGATGCCAGAACAGAAGGGGCCGGGTGACTGCAGAGCACATTGTGGGGTGTTTTGATGCTGAGAAGGAAGTTCTAGTCTGAAGCCAAGTGGTTTCCTATTCTGAGGTTCTGCCGGGGCGGGGGGTGCAAGCAGAAAGCCTCAGACCTCATCAGAACCAGGGGCGATAAGAAGCTGTTTCATGATAGTCCCCCAGAGGAGAGAGGGAGGCAAGCGCGAGCTCTCTCTGAAGCAGTTTGTTATAAGCCTCTCACCCTCTCTTGACCCAAGAGGATCACAGAAAAAATTGCACCCCCCCAGCAGAGACTGAACGGAGAGCCTGGACTTCCGCGCTCACTGGGCTGTAGAGAGGTGTCCCAGGGTCGTGTCCCAGGAGGCCGAATGGGGAACTGAGGCTTATCTCCGAGTTGTAACACCTGTGCCCATCCATTGTGGTGTCGGGGAGACCTTGGGAGTCGACTTCCTCACTGACCCAGTGGCACTGAGGCACCATTCCACCTGCCTCCTGGGGTGGCATCAGAGGAGGCCTAGTTGAGATCCAGGACTTTCTCCTGCACCCGGGGGTAACAAGGCCACTTCTGTGGTGCCAGTGGAGAAAGCATGAGGTTTTTTCCTGCAGTATTAACCGTAAGGACTTCATTGAGCTCCTAGAGGTAAAACTCATGAAAGCGTGCCCTCCTCCGGCTCCCCCCCCAAAAAAAAAACCTGGGTCCACAGTTTTTTTAAACTCTCAAGCTGATCCTCATTCGGCCTCTGGCAATTCATTAATTATCGTTTACTTGCTCCCTCCAGCTGCTGCTTGAGCAGTGGCCTGCTCCTGCTAAGCTGATTCTCTTCTCTGCAGTCAGTTGTCTCTTCACTTTTTGGGGTGGCTCTTTGCCCTGTGACTCCAATTCTCTGGTTGGCCTAAGAAGACTGGTTGACTTTCAGTTTAGTTTTTTCAGCTTTTTTCTTGTTTTGAGGATGACAACTCACAAGCTCTTTACATGGTGCAGTGAAAACTGGAAGTTCTGTGTTCATTTCTATTCACTTTGTTATTTCTGTTCTTAGACTAGATAATCTTGGCTGACCTATCCTCAAGCTCACTGGCTCTTTCTTCTGCTCACTAAAGTCAGATGTTAAGCTTCTAGTGAGTTTTTTTTAGTTATTTTACTTTCCAACTCCAGAATTTCCATTTGGTTCTTTTTTAAAAAATGACTTTCTATCTCTTTGTTGATGTTCTCTATTAGAGACATCACTATCATACTTTGCTCTTTTAGACATGGTTCCTTTGAACGTATTTAAAATGGCTGATTTAAAGTCTTTGTCTAGTAAGGCCAATGTCTGGGGTTCTTTGGACCAGCAATTAATTTTATTAATTGCTTCCCTCTGCCTATTTTTATGGGCTGTACTTTCTTGTTTCTTTGCAAGTCCTATAGTCTGTTGTTGAAAACTGGACATTTAAAATAATATAACATGGCAACTCTGAAAATAAGCTTCTCCCCACTCTCCAAGGATTTTTATTGTTACTGCTTGTTATAGTTGTTACAATAAACCCTCGATTTTGGGGACCTTGATTTAACAGACTTCAGATTTAATGGATACAATTTCCAGTCCATGTCATGTGAAAATTAACACCCTGTTAATTTTAAAATGCTTTTAACCAAGATTTACTTATAATTAACAGGTTATTTTTTTGTCACTAATTTTTAACAAATTTTAGTGATTAGGCCATATATTGGAAAAAACACTGTAGTAATTTCGTCGACATAAATAAGTATCTACAGCTATAGTCTACATATTTAAATCCAAGAGTCACCGCCCATAAACAATATTTGGTGAATGATTAGCACGTGATCACACTGCGTCAAGCACAGTAATTGGTTCTGTTGTCACTGGCTGACTTTCTGCAGCACTTTTAACTCAAGCAGGCTGATGTTCTCAGGCACTAAGCCCCGCTCCAGCCTGTGCATCTGTTTACTCATGGTGACTGGTGACTGGATGCATTTACTAGACCTACTCAGTATAAATTTAAAACTACAGTGATACATACAGAAAACTTTTTTGTGAAATAAACTTTTCATACTTAATTACACAAGTGTGTCCACATAAGTAAAAACAGGTCAACTAATTTGTCAAATTTTTGACATACGCATTTGGAAAACCTACTTTATTATATAACGGACTTTTGGCCTTAACGGACACCCCCTCACCTAAATTAGCTCGTTATATTGAGGTTTTACTGGGTGGTTTTTTTAGCGACTTTTCTTAACAAATTCGGTAAAGTCTGTATTCCTTGCTGTGTGTGGACGCTGAAGCCTCTCTTGATTACTTAGTGGTCAGCTCCTGGGTTGCACAGAGATTATCTTAAATGTCTGGAGCAGTATGTTTAGATATTGGTCCCTCCACATTACATTTTATTTTGTTACAAACCCAAATTTGCTAAGAGTCAAACTTTAAAAGGTTCTCTGAGGGACACAAAGCCTCAAAAGGTGAGACTGAGATCAAATGATTTAAAATAGTATTCGGGCAACCAGATTTCCATTGGGGCTGAAATGTGTCTGAATGCAGCGGAACTCGGAACTTCGAGAAGGAGAGGGGGTGTCCACAGTGCTGATGTCACACAGCCTGCGGCCTGGTGAGCACAGAAGGTGGAGCCGGCCAGGTGGCGTCCATTCTGCTGGCTCTGGTGCAGACTGTGCCCCTAACAGCGAGCTCTTCAAGCTTATATCTTAACTGCTCGGAACGAGGACAGCTAGGATCTTCTTTCTCACGTTAAGATGTACTGTCCCCTAAAGCTTGTTTTCATTGTATTTTTTCTTTACTGTCGGCACTCGTCCAGCCTTAATGTCTTAGACAGTAAGTATGTTTGGGCGGAGGGTCGTTTATTCTTTCCTGGCTCACCGTTCCCTGGTTTCAGGAAGTCAGATTCAGCAAATTGCTCGTTCGAGACAAATTGGACTTCCTGGGAGGGTTTAGGATTCAGGAGGGGAAAAGGCAGTTGTGAGTGGGAGAATGGAAACCCTGTTTCCTAGAACAAGGACCCCAGACGGATTTGTGTCTTCTCAGTATGTTCGATCATGACATTTTGAAAAAGCTATTCTCACAGTCGTTCCCATAGGGGATTTTTAAGCCTGATGTACAGTGAGGGGTTAGTTCTTACTCTGAAAGTGAACATATTTTAGGGGCCCAGGTGCTTGGGAGTAAAACCACTTGCTCACTGCAGGCCTGTTTGTTACGTGGCTGCACATTACTGCCTGTGACAGGGAGAGGGAGGTTCTCCCCTCCCCCCCGCTTCCTCCGGATTTTCATTTCAGTCCATCTCATTCATAAATAAGCCATCATCGCTTGGCCAGGTTAGTCTCCTAGGCCTCCCTGGGAAGACTCGTTTGTGTTTGTTTTTTTAAATGCTTTTATTGATTTCAGAGAGAGGAAGGGAGAGGGCGGGAGAGAGAGAAACATCAATGATGAGAGAACCATTGATCAGCTGCCTCCTGCTCGCCCCCCACTGAGGGTCGAGCTGGCAGCCTGCAAATGTGCCCTGACTGGGAATCGATCCTGGTTCTTAGGCTGATGCTCAACCGCTGAGCCACGCGGGTGGGTAGGCTGGTTTGTGTTTTACACGCACAAGACTTTGTGCTTTGGGCTCCTTCTCCCTTCCCCGGAAGAAGCCTATAGAGCTTGCTGCCTGGCTGTGTGGGGAGGGGAGCCATGTTCATTGCCCACCCACCCTCCTCTGCCAGATGAAACGTCTTCTAAGATCAACTCGATAATCTCCTTCAGCATCGGTGGCGGTATCCTGGCAGCTATGCTCCTGCTGATAGGTATCGTCACCTGTATTTACTTCAAAGTGGCCAAGGCACTGAAGTAAGTCACGTAAGAGTGGATGACACCCCTCACGTGGGACACCCGGGCTCTGCTTAAGCAGGGCCCCTCCTTGCCTGGGGGTGACACCCTGGGTGAGGCCGGATCAGCGGGCAGGTGTGAAAAGGCAAAGGCAGGTGAGGGTAGAATCCTGGCTTCCCCCCTCTGGCTGGGGTTGTGAGCTCATAGTGCGTGTTCTCAGCCAGGCGCTGTGTGTCAGCTCCGTCTGCTGTCCTGAGGCCTCCTGGAGTTGACCCTCAGCTGGCAGGCACGGGGCACTGGCCGGGCCCTCCCTGTGTCCCAGGCCCTGCACACTGGAGACTGGGGCTGGCCGTGTGAATGAGCCTCTGCCTCAGTTCACCCAGAGGCCGGGCTGAGGTGACCTCCCGGTGCCTGAGCGGGGAGCTCTCAGGATGTTCTCTCGTTCACCGTCCATGGCCTTGGGGAC